GCGGAAAAATTAATGACTTTGGGTTTTAAGAAAGACTGGAGGGAGTGTCACAGAAAAGCTGCATAGTAAACATCTGCCAGGCAAATGGGTAGATGGTAACGGGAAATTGAAATCAGAGGCATGGGGAGAGCTGCGGTGCTGGTAGGAGGCGCCTGCCATGGGAAGGGCAGCCTCCCACGGCTAGCGGAGCGCTGTGCAGGGTCTTCCAGGTGAGGGGATGAGGGAGATAGCGCTGCTGGTGTCCACACGGCTTCCTGAACAGCATTCCACAAGGCCTTTCAGCCCAGACTTTTAAGGAAGCTGGCTGGTCAAGAGAGGAGGTGGTTGTGTGGATTAATAATTGGTTAAAAAACAGCAAGCCTCAAACAGCACAAAGTGCTCACTGTTGCAGTGGAAGTTGATCACAAGTGCAGAGCTGTCGCTCATACACCCGTATGGCGCCTGTGTTCAGTCTCATGCTATTTCTGACACATTCATGAGTGACCTAGAAAAGGGATGAGAATTGATATGACAGAGTTTGCTGATGCTGTCGGGTTTCTTAAGATAGTGCGGACCAGAGCCAACTGTGAAAAGTTACAGACCATTACAAGACTGGGCAGCAGGCAGATGGAATTCAATTTAGATAAATATCCAGTAAAACACAAGGGAGATAAACAGTCCCAGATTTGCAAACAAAATGACAAACTCTGAGCTGGCTACTCTCAGTAAGACTTGGAGTTATTTCAGATAGCTCAGTGTACAACCACAGAAAAACATATCAAATCAATAAGGCAAAAAAAAAAAAAGAAAGAAAAAGAAAACAGAGAAAGCAGAAAACAGCTTTGTGCCACTGTTTAAATCCACAGTTCACCTACCCTAAACCTTCATGCAGTTCTGGCCTCCCTGTCTCTAAAAGGGTCTAGTGGAAGTGGGGAAGATTCAGAGAAAAAGCAACAAGGAGGATCAAAGGCATGGAGCTGTTTCTGTGTGACTAAGTAAGCTAGAATTTTTCTGTTTGGAAAACATGATGTAGGGTGGATATGATCCAGTCCTGTAAACTCATGGCTGGCATGAGGAAGGGACCTAATGCTCTTTGAATACAAGAATGAGGGTGCATCAAATTAAGCTAGCACATCCTATGCACAAGGTGAACTTCACAGGTGTAGCCAAGGAACTCCTTGCTGGAGGATGTGATCATGCCTAAAGGGCATGTGAGTTAGAGGGGAAGATGGACATTTTCACAGCTGCAAAGTCCACTGAGGGTTACAAAACATAGAAAAACTGTACATGGCTCAGGCAGTTGCCAGAACAGAATCGTCATAGGCCGTGAGAGTAACTAGAGACTTAAATATTTGTTTAACCTGTTCTTACACTCTTTTGGCATCCACCTTTGGCCTCTGGCAGAGACAAGATACTGAGCTAGACAGATTGGTCCGAGGTGCCTGCCCTTGCTGTGTGAGGGCTTGCCTTTGTTGCAGGATTGCAGTGAGATACACAGACGTGCAGACTCATACATCTTGTGAAACACAAGTGCACTCACAGCCAAAGGTGGAGGAGTGCAGGATGCTAATGCAAAAGGAGGGACTGGAGCCACTGCCTCCATGGTTTGTTCCTGGGACACAGCTGGCACGAGACACAAGGACCCTGTGCATGCAGAGGGCATGAACATGAAGTGTCAACAGGCAGTCTTAAAGCTTTTCCTTTTTCCTAGCAGAATCACGGCCACCAGGGTTTCATGTCACTTGTACATCAGATATTATGCCTGTTCCCTGCCCTCAGATAAACCTTGGTGGGTACCCAGATCAGCCTATCTGCCTGGAGTTTGCTTTTTCCTTGCTGTTTTCCAAAACAGCAAACAGAAATAAGGGATGGGGTGAAGGTTGGGAAGGCATCTGGCTCTGCCCCATCTTGGCTGTGCTTGGAGGAAGTGTGGACCTGCGAAGTGATTCATTGTAATCAATGGTGGGATGACACTGAGATATTCAACATATTGTCTGCCAGCATCCCCTAGACTACAAGGTGTAAGGAAAGGGCTGTGGCTCTAGTGCAGGGTAAAGAGTTTTTCTTTAGAGGGCTGGTGTTCCTGGGTGAAAGCTGTAGCATGCCCATTCATTGCCATGAAACCACTCCTAATTGGAAAGCCAAACTTGTCCTTGCTAACCTTCAGTGAAGGCATCAGAAGCAGAAGAATAGGTGACATAGGGGAAGGGAGGGAGAGGGAAATCTCCAAAGCCCATTGGCAAACCACTGCCTTCAGGTGCATCCCTCCTGCAGCTCACGTTTTCCTCGGGAGATTAGGCATTTTTCCATGCAGTGTTTGTGCTGTGTTCCCAGGAGTTGGCTCACAATGCGCTTGTGTATGTCCCAATACAATAGGTGTCACTTCGAGTGTGTCATGGCCTTTGTGTTGAGCAAATGGGCAATTATAATTACCCTATCTCTGTTTGTATTTGTTACAAGGAAGGAGATAACCTGTCCTTTATTAAGCCAGTCCTGCTTGTTACCTTGCTGTGACATGGACACCCACAGTAGTGCTTACGCATAGTGTGTGAGAAGAGGGGAAGGACTGAGGATGGACGCTTTGTGTCCAGGAACAAAGCGGGTGCTCTTACACCAAAGCTCCTCATCAGGTCCTCCTCCTGCCGCCCTCCTGGCCATGCATCCCACAGCACTGCTGGGACACCTTGCTGGGAGATGGGTAAGGTTGGAGCTGCAGCGTGCCAGCGAGGTGCCTGGGGTGGCCATATGCCGGTCTCTGTCCCCAGGCAGTCACAGGAGTTTTGCTCTCGCTGGGTCGGAGCATGGTTGCCACCTGTTGCTTGAGCTGGCGGGTTTGACCTTCTGTGTTTATTGTGAGGTTGTTTGTAAGAGCTGGCGGTTGGACGCGTTTCCTGCCGTAATGAGCACTGACACGCGTGCCCCTTGGCAAGGACTGGCTCTTTGTGGAAAAAATTAGAAGGCACTTAGCAAAGTGAGACAGAAAATAAACAAAGCCGGCAGGAGGCTGCGGCCAGGCGGCCGGGCATTGCCTGCCGAGGAGGACAGCGCTCCCAGCGCTCTGCGGATGGGACGGGACGGATGGGAGCGGGGCCGCGGGGCGCCGGGCGGAGCGGCCCGGAGCCGCTCTGTGGCTGTGTGCGCTGCCTCCTCCGCGGCACCCTTCCTTTCCTCCCTTGCCCAGGCATCCGGGCGCAGGACCGGGCCGCCCGCCAGCCCTGGTACCTGACACCTCTCCTCCTCCTCCACGGATGCCGCTGGACACGCGGTCCCGGCCGTGACTCAAGCGGGGGCCTGACTCTCGTCCCTGGGAGGAGGAGGGGAATGCGAGGGAGGGGAGAACGCGTCGCCCTCAAATACACTGCCCAAGCACAGGTTGAGGTTCAGCCTCCAGGCCGGTGCTGCCTGCCCTCCCCAGGTACGTCCGTGCGGCCTGTCCCCTCCCCAGCACCCCACACACCAGTGGGAGCTGCAGGAAGCAGGGGGAAGCCGAGAGCAAAGCCAGGGGCTTGTTGGCTGTTTGGGACCTGCTGGTTTTCTCTGCTCAGCGGGGGAGATATCCCAGGAGAGGTGGTTTTGCACGGGGCGACCCCGCGTGTCTGCATGTATGCAAAGGGGTGCAGTCGCACCAGCAGGTCCCCTGCCAACCCAGCGCAGCGGCTCTGCAAGCTCCTGCCTGCCCGCCAGCAGGGGATTTTCCTACGTTTTCTCTGGAAGCCTGGGTAGCTCACAGGGCAGAGAGGAGGCATCGTATCCTGAGCTGTCGGTGTGGGAAGGAAGGAAGGGCAGTCAGTGCCAGCGCTATGGGGTGGGGGCTGCTGGTCGGGGGGTTTAGTCCCGTTCTGCACAGACCTGCCCGTTGGCCTGATATGGCTTTTCCAAGCAGCTAGCGGGCTTCCCAAATCCCTCCGTGCACCTCATTGGCCTGATTTCTCCTGTCATTCCTGTAAGCTCTTCCGCGCGACACATGACGGTAGGGCCGTGCCCCGGGCGCCTTTCTGCCTTTCTCCGCTAAGAAAGGGCTGAGCTGAAGGACACGCGCGCCGGCAGCGAGGCAGAGCCTCGGTTGCCTTTAAGACACGCCGGGTCTGGCGTGGACTACAGATCCCAGCATGCTGCAGTGAGCCGGCTACCTGGCAGGAGCCGGGCTGCGGCGTCGGGGATGCTGCCGGCCGCGGGGAGGGAGCCGAGGCAGGCGGCCGAGGGCCATGTGTAGCGCCGTGCCCAGCAGGAGCCTCGGTGTGCGTGAAGCCCTGGGAGAAGTGACCATATACCCAATGCTGTGCCGGCCGGACTGGAAAAGCACAAGGCAGGCCTGCGGCTTCTCCCGGGCAGCTGATCCTGCGCCCACTGCAGAGGGAGGGAGGGACGGAGTGGGGGTCAGGCTCAGCAGGAGGTTTTGTTGTGCAGAGAGGTGGCTAAAGGGGGAGGTAAGCAGTGCCGGGCTCCCCGAGGGATGTCCTGCGCTGGACCTGGGAATGCCGCTTCCAAGAGTGATGCAGGAACGGGCTGCAAGAGCCCTGGGGAAGAGGGAATTGGGAATGGAGGGTTTGTGCAGTTCTGACCAGGGGAGTCATTGAATATGTCCTTTGTCCTGCCGTGCCCTGAGTGTTGCAGGGACGTGGGGATGGCAGGGGGGACCCAGCCCGCTGCGCATAGGCTTTGCTTACAGCATGAGGATTGAGAGCAGAGGGCTGCAGGCCCAGAAATCTCCTAAAAGAGCCTGCAGTGGAGCCGCCAGGCAGGTGGGGTAGAGCAGCTTGGTACTCATACAAGTGTCTTCCTTTTCAGAGGAAAGAGTTAAGCATCCTCTGGCCAGCAGCATATGGCCCCGTCTGTCAGCTTCTCGGCTGAAGACCTCGGAGCTGCAGGTTTCCAAAACTGTGGTGCAATGCTCTTGCCAGTGGCAGGGCTCTGTTTGTCTCCCAGGCCTGTGGAGAGCTCACTTAGAGCAGAGGGTTAAAAGCAGTGCTGTCCCTGCCCGGCCTGTGTGCCTCACACCCCAGTAAAACCCTCTGTTTATTTTCCAGACGGAGAGCAACCACGAGACTTGCTGGGACCGTTGCTGAACCACGCTGCACAAGATGACAGCAAGAGACGGGCCCCAAGATAGGTAGGGCTGGGCCTCTCTCTGGGGCCATATCCAGGATACCAGGAGGTCTGAGGGGCACAGGGGCCCTGTCCTGCACGTTTTCTGTGCTACAGGGCTATGATACCAAAGGGCCGCTTGTGCCCTGCCCCTTGGGACACCATGGTGCTGTGAGCTGGAAGCTGGAGGGATTAGAGGTACCTCCAGGCCCCGAAGGCCATTGCCCAGCCCATTCCCCCCGCTGTGCCCAGTTTGCTGTCTGTTCCCTTCAATCTGTGGGCTGGAGAGCATGCTGGAGCTGCCCATGCTGGGTGCCAATCCACTGGCAGTCTGCCCTCTGGATCTTCGTGTTCCCTCCCTGTCTGTGGAGTCCCTTTCCCCAAGACACGCTTGCTGTCAGTTTTTCCGTAGCAGATGGGCTCTATGCAGTCAGTGCTGGGACACGGCACCTCTCTTCCTGGGTAGCGTGACTCCCTCTCAGCTCCAGCAACAGTCGCTGTGCATCTGGGTACCATGTGCCAAGGAGCAACCAGCCTCCCTCTGCTTTCAGAGCCTGCTAGGAAACGGTGCCAGGGCCTGGGGAAGGGCCTCCTCTGGTCCCTGTGCAAGGCCACGTCTGCACAGGAGACGCTGTGGCTGGGTGAGCAGGGGCTGTGGGGACTGCTGAGTGCCAGTGGCAGAGCTAGGGGGAAGTAAATCCCTTATGCCACCCTGGTGTAACCCACGGTTAAGAGCACTGGTCCCACAGACAGCCCAAGGTTGTGAATGTCCATCCTTGCTCCTCCTCATCATGCTGTGTCCCACAGTGGGCTGGAGGACAGTCAGGAAGAGAGGTGATATTTGTCCCCTGCACTGAACAGCTCTGTCCCCCTCACAGGTACAAAGGTGTGTGGCTGATCTTCTTCATCCTCGGGCTGGGAACATTGCTGCCATGGAATTTCTTCATGACTGCCAGGAAGGTGAGAGCGTCTGTCCCACCACTCTCAATGTCACTAATCATCCAATGTCACTTCTAGGGACGGCAGCGTGGGTGCGACAGCATAGGACAGTGTAGAGCCCCCAATGTTTGTAGATGGGGAGATGGAGTGTGGGTAACCTCAGTGGGATGTGTCACACTGAGGTGGCAGGAGGAGCCCTGGGCTTGGGGAGGTGGCATGTGCAGCCCGAATGTGCTGGAGGAAGCTCTGCAGCAGCTCAGCCCCACCTGACTCCTTCCCTTGCAGTATTTCATCGACCGCCTGGCAGACCCAAAGAATGAGAACTGCTTCTCGAATGAGACTGCTAGGACCACCTTACCCTGCTCCTACCTGCAGTCCATGTTTGACAACTTCATGACTCTCTGTGCCATGGTGCCACTCCTCATCTTCACCTGCCTCAACTCTTTCATCCACCAGCGGTGAGCCTTGCCCCATCCTTGCTCCGGCCAGCCCCTGTCCACAGGACAGCTCAACTCCCACCTGTCCTCCCACAGCAGCACTGAGCCAAAATGCCTGTAGAGGATGGGTTTTCCTCACTGAGATTCTCTCTTGCAGGATTTCCCAGCAGATCCGCATCTTGGGCAGCTTGGTGGCCATTGGGCTGGTGTTCCTAATCACCACAATCATGGTGAAAGTCACCATGGAGCCTCTTCCCTTCTTTGTCTTCACCATGATCAGCATTGTCTTCATCAACTGTGAGTGGGGCATGAGGAGGAAGGAAAGTGCCTCGAACTCTTCTGTTAATTTGAGCCGCACAGCTAGGACTGACCTCTGTGGGGAGGAGAGCACAAACCTCACTGCAGGAGAGTGAGGGGAAGGGGGAGGAGAGAGGTGCCTGTCTTGCTCCTCAGGGACACAGTGCCGGTTGCAAGGTAGTTTCTTGCAGAGGCACAGTCCTTTGGTTGCTCATTTCTGCTCGTCCTTCTCCTCTACAGCCTTTGGTGCCATCCTCCAGAGCAGCCTCTTCGGACTGGCAGGGCTCCTGCCTGCCAGCTACACGGCTCCCATCATGAGCGGGCAGGGCATGGCAGGAACCTTTGCTGCTTTGGCGATGATCTTCAGTATTGCCAGTGAGTAATCGCTGCGGTGAGAGCCCTCCTGCATCGCTGCTGCTAACGGGGTTGGCTAGAGACTGCAACCTCTGCCTGCAGCAAGCAGAGGGGGCGCAAGCAGGGGACCTCACCCTGGGATCACACTGTAGGGATGGATGGGAGATGGCGTCAGGACTTTGTTCTGCTTGCCGCCTTCATCTTCTGCCTTTTCCTCCTTGTGCTCCCAGTTGGTGCTCAGCAGCCAGAGAGCTACATTGGTTACTTCACCACAGCGTGCGCGGTGGTCGTGCTGGCAATCTCCTCCTACATCATCTTGCCTCGCTTGGTAAGACTTTTTCTTCTTTGTGGGGAAGGACATGAGATCTTTCCACATTGCAGCACAAGAACTTTGGCCCACTGACATTCCCACCTTGACTCCTACCAGTATCCACCTCCTGGGTCATGGCAGGGAAGATGTCTGTGGGACTTCCCAGCCCAAATCTCTGTATCCTGGGGTAGTGCATGGCAATGAGCCCTTGGGAGAGCTAGAAAGCATGGGTATCAGGTACACCTGGGACAAATGTTTTGCCCATATTGCGCAGCCTGCTGTTACCACCTGCTGCGCTGTTACCACATAGCCCCAAACACCCATTCCCTGGCAGCCTTCTTTCCCCACGTGGGAATGAGTTCCCAATGACTGTGTCTCTGCAGGATTTCTTCCGCTACTACTCCATGAAGGATAAGACAGAGTACAGTGTGTACCACGCAGAGCTGGAGACCAAGAGAGACCTGATTAAGAAAGGTGAGGAATGGAGAGGAGGAAGAGCTAAGGGGAAGAATGAGATAGAAGGACTGAAGATACCTGCTGTCAGATATGCCCTACTCTCATTTCTCTCTGCAGATGAGCCCAATGGGATGGAGCAGAATAACTCAAAGATCATCCCTATCCACAACCCTGATGAAAAGCCTTCAGTCTTCTCCATTTTTAAGAAGGTTTGTGAGTTACCAGCAACCCCTGCCCTTCACCTCGTGTCAGGGGATGGATGCAGGTGTAGGACATTACAGGTTATTATGGTCCCCCCTACACTGTGTTTGATACCAGCCCCTTCCTTTAACTTCCCCAGCTCTGGGTCATGGCCCTGTCCGTCTGCTTTGTCTTCACTGTCACCATCGGAGTCTTTCCTGCCATCACAGCTAAGGTGTCAACCGAACTTGGGGAGGGAAACAAATGGGGTAAGTGTGCCCAGGTATGGGGTTGGGAGGAAGATAAGTCTGGGAAAGAGCTAAATGGGAGGGAAGAAAGCGGGGTCTGAAGCTATAGGAGTGTCTGAATAGAGGAGTCCGTGTGCGATGACTTGGGTGCATATGCTGACCTGACTGGAGAGTTTCAGTCCTTTGTGGGAAGCCAGGAGAGTGAGATGGTCTCTGTGCAGCTTGTCAGTGACATGTTTCCCTTCCGCAGAACATTACTTCATCCCAGTCTCCTGTTTCCTGGTGTTTAATGTCTTTGACTGGACAGGACGGAGTCTCACAGCCCTGTTCACATGGGTAAGTATGGGACAGGGAGGAAATGTTCGGGCTCTGCTCCTGGAGCACCCATGCACTCTCCATTCCCTGGCTGCCTGTCCTTGGCCCTTGCTGGAGCAGCCATGTAGGGCTCCAGGGAGGAAAGAGGCACTGGGCTGACTCCTGCCCTGGCTTTGAGTGCAAAGCAAAACTTTATGGGTTAGATCTGAGAGTCACAGAATCCTCCTCCCACTCCTCTTTTGCGTGGTTTGGAGGAAGCTGCTTTATCCATTCCAGCCTCTTTGTAAACAAAGCCAGCAGCCAGGCAGGATGGCAGCAGGGCAAGCAGGTGAAAGACAAGGCAGCACAGAATATAACCTCCGTGCAGAACAGAGCTGCTTTAAAAAGCCCTGCTACAGAGCAGTGCAGAGCTGTGCCATGCGGGACACTGAACTGTCCCCTGCCATGTCCCACATCGACTCTCCTGCATACTTTAGAGCATGGGCTGCAATGGCATGGTGTGAGGAAGGGAGCTGTGCTGTCTGTGTCTCTTCCTTTCTCTTTACCCACCCCCACAAGCTCAGTTTCCCCCTATATTGTTCAGGCTGTTTGTTTGAAGAAGCTCCTTACAGCACCACACAACATGGGGTGTGTCCAGGCCTAGCTGTGCTGGGTTTCCCTGCAGCCTGGAGCTGCTTCTCTCCTGCCCTTTGCTGCTGGCTGCCCTTGGCCACAAGCCAAACTGCCTGGTGTCCAGGCTACAGCCCCAGGAGTGGGATGACCCAGCAAGGAGATATTTCCAAAACAGCATTGCATGGAAAGTTTGACTGCATGTGGTTTGGGCCTTGTTTCCCTGGTCAAGGCCCTGCTCTGTTTCTTCACCCACTCACTGAGCAAAAGAGGATGCTGCTTTTGTGGGTTTGCCCACACATATAACAGTTAGTGGCACTTCAGTTACGCTCATGAGGAACCCCAAGGAGACACCACCCCTGGCAGGGCCACCAGCTCCCAAGGCAACTACAGTTTCCTGCTTTTTCTTGGATCCTGTCATCTGAAACCCTGACACACTGGTGAGGGCATCAGACAGAGCCAAGCACATAGGTGACATGTGCTGCGCTGTGGACTGCTTTGGTCCTGGCTGCAGCACAACATAGGGTGGCAGTGCCTGCTACTTTGTCCCAGCTCCACTCATCCAGGTACTCCATTGAGAGTTGCCTGCTTGCCTAGGGGATGATGTGGGAAGTTGAAGAGCTGGTTAAAGCCCAGTTTGCAGGTGCACAATGGCCAGGGTCTGCTGCAGGACGAAATGGGGTGTGGTGGGGGGTGTGTGTGTGTGTGTGTGTGTGTGTGTGTGAGTAAGCCTCGTCTGTTGTTTCCAGCAAGTGCTTAGCAGTTGCTCTTAAGTCTAGCGTAGTATTTTGATAGCCTCTGATGCTAACATGGGTCTGTGAGGGTCTGTCATGGGATGACCATGACATCTGGTCATCCTCGTGTCTGCTCGTGCACAATGGCCAGGGTCTGCTGCAGGACGAAATGGGGTGTGCATGTGTGGGGAGTGTGTGTGTGTGTGCGTAAGCCTCGTCTGTTGTTTCCAGCAAGTGCTTAGCAGTTGCTCTTAAGTCTAGCATAGTATTTTGATAGCCTCTGATGCTAATATGGGTCTGTGAGGCCCATCTGGTCATCCTCGTGTCTGCTCCCTGCTGCAGCTCTCCTTACAGTGCTAGCTGAAGGCTCCGGGCAGAGCCCACAGCAGTGACAGACATCTGGTAGTGAGAACCTTCTTGTGAGTGATGGCCTAGCAAATACCACGAAGGTTAGTGGAAAAGAGAGAAGAGCCCCCCAAGCTTCAAATGTCTCTGATGCTGGGGGAGCCCACATAACTGGATGCAGGAAGCTGCAGGATGAGGATAGACAGACCCAGAGGTACATACTGAAGGACAGTAGGCAGACGCTGTGTCAGGAAGTCTTGCAGAGGGGGGCTCAAGAACCGCCCTTATCTCTCCCTTGCATCAGAAGGTGACACTGGGATTTTTTGCGTCAGGAAAAGGCTCTGTGCATCCTCAGATCTGACAGCAGGGGCTGCCCCTTGCTTTGCAATGGGGAAATCAGCTCACTCAGTGTTCTGTGTTTCTCTCCCAGCCTGGGAAGGACAGCTACCTCCTGCCAGTGATGGTGGCCCTACGTGTCATCTTTGTACCCCTTTTCATGCTGTGCAACGTGAAATCCCGCAAATACCTGCCCATTATCTTCTCTCACGATGCCTGGTACATCGTCTTCATGATCTTCTTCTCCATCTCCAACGGATACCTGGCCAGCCTTTGTATGTGCTTCGGGCCCAAGTGAGTAGCATCTGGGCACAAGGGAAGAGCTGGCCTTACCTTTGGGTGCCAGCCCAGGCCCAACGCCTTGTGCCTAGGCCTACCCCTGGCACCTGCACTGCCCCAGGGCAGAGGGGGAGGGTCCCACTGCCTCCACACTGGGAAGACAACCCCTGCGTCCTCTCTCGGAGGCGTGTTACATCCTAAAGCCGGGGGTGCCACGGCCTATGCCCCCCGGGCAGAGGTTGGACATAGAGCAGAAGGCAGCGTAGCGCACGCGAGGCGGGAGCAGCCTGGGCCGACACGGGAGCGCAGGCAGCACGAGCAGCTCTGCTGGGGCGCAGCCAGGCAGGCTGCAGCGCGTCAGGGCAGGAGCCAGGGAGCGGAGTCCTTGGCGCCAGGAGCTTCAAGGCAGTCTGTGTGAGGCTCTATTTCCTTTGAGCCCATAGTTTAGAGACAGGCTCTTGGAGCCGAGTGGGATTTGCTCTTGCCATTCCCCTGCCCTGGAGACAAGGCTGCTGCTTAGTGCGTGATCTCCTCCCGTCCCTGCAGGGGAGCTCCCAGCAGGGCATGGAGCATGCGACCCAAGGACGAGCCTGACCCCTCTTTCCCCTGCAGGAAAGTGCTCGCTCACGAAGCAGAAACAGCTGGAGCAGTCATGGCCTTTTTCCTCACACTGGGCTTGGCGCTAGGAGCTGCCATCTCCTTCCTACTTGGAATTCTCATCTAGCAGAGGCATCCAGAGGCCGCACGGACACAGAGAGACAGCTCCACATCCTCCTCCGAGGCCCTGGGCACCTCAACTCTGTGGGACAAAACACTGCACCTGCCCCAACAAAATGTACTGCCGAAGCACATGTTACAGCCAGAGACGGTTCCACTCCTCCAGGACTGGCCTGGCTCCTGCCACGCTCGGCTGTGTGATGCCTTCAGGCCCACGTGCCTTTGCCGTGCTGCAAGACCCCTGGGATCTCACAGAGGTCCAGTTATCCCCTCATGCTGTGTAACCCCCCAGCTCAAGACCTAAAGCCACTCTCAGCTACCTCCTCAGCAGAGCTGAGGGCTGGTGTCCAGTGTTGTTTCCTCTCCCACTCGTGTTCCCAACGCACCTGGGCACTGGCTCTCCTTTTGTCTCCTTCCTGCACCCCAGCCTGTCCCCTGCCTGTGAATAGGAAGGAGAGCCCCAGGCAGCCTTGCTGTCCTCATTCCCCCCGTCCGCTACGAGCATGTCCTCCTGCACAGGAGCATCTGAAGGGACCCATGCACGTCCCACTCAAACAGCTGCCATCCAACACCATGGCTAGACCAAGGAAGAACAAGGTGTCAACACCCTGCCTTTCCCCTCCTCTCTTTGCCTTCATCCCTGTCTGCTTATTTCCCAGCCCCCTCAAAAACTGGTTAGTGATCCGGCCTCTGTTTCCCATGTCCTGTTGCTGGGACAGGAGATGACATCATGAAGCGTGAGAGGAAAGCAGGCTCCCTGTCCCCTGAGCTGCCCTGCTTACCCGTGTGCTGCAGGGGGAGCCTGACCTCCCCCTTGTTTCTCCCCTGCTTTGTATAAACTTTATCTGTACAGTTGCCTTTTTCTATAAAAAGACCAAAACTGGGTATGTGTGTGTGTCTCCATTTCCACCTAAAAGAGGGTCACAGGAGCTGACAGGGCAGGTGGCAGCTCTCTGGGCACTCCAGGCCCTGCTGTGGCCAGCACCAGTCAGGGCACGCTGCGTGCTGGGCCCAGGGCCTTGCTGCTGCCTCATGCAGCCAGGGGTTCCCGGCACCCCTGAGAAGGGGGAGGCTCCGGCAGCAACTCACGCTCCCGCGGAGCCTCTCCAGTGCGCGAGCAGCTGGGCTGCCACCTCCTGCTCCTGGGGAACTCCCCGCCTGCCCCCCTGCCACGGCCCGTGCCCCGCTTGCCACCACCTCTGCTCCAGGGCTCACCCGCTGCGACCCTCCGGGCCCAGGGCGAGGGCCAGGCTCCCTCATCACACCTTCTGCTCGCAGCCACCGAGGGCATCTCCGCGTGCAGAGCTCCGACAGCACCTCAGCGCTGCCCTGCAGGGCGTTCAGACCCACGTGCTTTCAGGAGAAAGGACAGGGCACAGGATTTATCCTGCATGCCCTTAGCTGCTGCTGAACATGATGCTTCCCAAATGCCGTCCCTGCCGAGCTGATTTCTTATGGAGGAAAAAGGCCTTCTCTGCTCCCTGAGCCTAGCTGCCAGCGCCCTGCAGTCCTGATGCAATCCCTGCTGCACATCCTCCAGCAAAGCCCTTATGGTGCTGCCTGTGGCCTCTATCCTGCACCTTCCCACCCTGCGCGGCCCCATGTGCGCCCCTGCCGTGCACCCATGGTCACAGAAAAGTCAGGATAGCGGGGCCATGACTTCACCAGCCACAGACGTCCCCGGCACCTGGCACTCCGCACTTGGCTCCTAGACTCGGGAGAGCTGCAGCCTCCCCAGACCAGTAAA